GGAAGGGAAGGGAAGGGAAGGGAAGGGAAGGGAAGGGAAGGGAAGGGAAGGGAAGGGAAGGGAAGGGAAGGGAAGGGAAGGGAAGGGAAGGGAAGGGAAGGGAAGGGAAGGGAAGGGAAGGGACGGGAAGGGACGGGAAGGGAAGGGAAGGGAAGGGAAGGGAAGGGAAGGGAAGGGAAGGGAAGGGAAGGGCAGGGAAGGGAAGGGAAGGGAAGGGAAGGGAAGGGAAGGGAAGGGAAGGGAAGGGAAGGGAAGGGAAGGGAAGGGAAGGGAAGGGAAGGGAAGGGAAGGTTCGGGACGGGAAGGGAAGGGAAGGGAAGGGAAGGGAAGGGAAGGGAAGGGAAGGGAAGGGAAGGGAAGGGACGGGAAGGGAAGGGAAGGGAAGGGAAGGGAAGGGAAGGGAAGGGAAGGGAAGGGAAGGGAAGGGAAGGGAAGGGAAGGGACGGGAAGGGAAGGGAAGGGACGGGAAGGGAAGGGAAGGGAAGGGAAGGGAAGGGAAGGGAAGGGAAGGGAAGGGAAGGGAAGGGAAGGGAAGGGAAGGTTCGGGAAGGGAAGGGAAGGGAAGGTTCGGGAAGGGAAGGGAAGGGAAGGGAAGGGAAGGGAAGGGAAGGGAAGGGAAGGGAAGGGAAGGGAAGGGAAGGGAAGGGAAGGGAAGGGAAGGGAAGGGAAGGGAAGGGAAGGGAAGGGTCGGGAAGGGAAGGGTCGGGAAGGGAAGGGTCGGGAAGGGAAGGGAAGGGAAGGGAAGGGAAGGGAAGGGAAGGGAAGGGAAGGGAAGGGAAGGGAAGGGAAGGGAAGGGAAGGGAGGGGAAGGGAAGGGAAGGGAAGGGAAGGGACGGGAAGGGAAGGGAAGGGAAGGGAAGGGAAGGGAAGGGAAGGGAAGGGAAGGGAAGGGAAGGGACGGGAAGGGAAGGTTCGGGAAGGGAAGGGAAGGGAAGGGAAGGGAAGGGAAGGGAAGGGAAGGGAAGGGAAGGGAAGGGAAGGGAAGGGAAGGGAAGGGGAGGGAAGGGGAGGGAAGGGAAGGGAAGGGAAGGGAAGGGAAGGGAAGGGAAGGGAAGGGGAGGGAAGGGAAGGGAGGGGAGGGGAAGGGAGGGAAGAGGAAGGGAAAGGAAAGGAAGGAATGGACGGGGAAGTGAAGGGAATGTACGGGAAGGGAAGGGAAGGGAAGGGAAGGGAAGGGAAGGGAAGGGAAGGGAAGGGAAGGGAAGGGAAGGGAAGGGAAGGGAAGGGAAGGGAAGGGAAGGGAAGGGAAGGGAAGGGAAGGGAAGGGAAGGGAAGGGACGGGAAGGGAAGGGAAGGGACGGGAAGGGAAGGGACGGGAAGGGAAGGGAAGGGAAGGGAAGGGAAGGGAAGGGAAGGGAAGGGAAGGGAAGGGAAGGGAACGGGAAGGGAAGGGAAGGGAAGGGAAGGGAAGGGAAGGGAAGGGAAGGGAAGGGAAGGGAAGGGAAGGGAAGGGAAGGGAAGGGAAGGGAAGGGAAGGGAAGGGAAGGGAAGGGAAGGGAAAGGGAAGGGAAGGGAAGGGAAGGGAAGGGAAGGGAAGGGAAGGGAAGGGAAGGGAAGGGAAGGGAAGGGAAGGGAAGGGAAGGGAAGGTTCGGGAAGGGCAGGGAAGGGAAGGGAAGGGAAGGGAAGGGAAGGGAAGGGAAGGGAAGGGAAGGGAAGGGAAGGGAAGGGAAGGGAAGGGAAGGGAAGGGAAGGGAAGGGAAGGGAAGGGAAGGGAAGGGAAGGGGGAAGGGACGGGAAGGGAAGGGAAGGGAAGGGACGGGAAGGGAAGGGAAGGGAAGGGAAGGGAAGGGAAGGAAGGGAAGGGAAGGGAAGGGAAGGGAAGGGAAGGGAAGGGAAGGGAAGGGAAGGGAAGGGAAGGGAAGGGAAGGGAAGGGAAGGGAAGGGAAGGGAAGGGAAGGGAAGGGAAGGGAAGGGAAGGGAAGGGAAGGGACGGGAAGGGAAGGGAAGGGAAGGGAAGGGAAGGGAAGGGAAGGGAAGGGAAGGGAAGGGAAGGGAAGGGAGGGAAGGGAAGGGAAGGGAAGGGAAGGGAAGGGAAGGGAAGGGAAGGGAAGGGAAGGGAAGGGAAGGGAAGGGAAGGGAAGGGAAGGGAAGGGAAGGGAAGGGAAGGGACGGGAAGGGAAGGGAAGGGAAGGGAAGGGAAGGGAAGGGACGGGAAGGGACGGAAGGAGAAAAGGAAGGGAAGGGAAGGAAAAGGGGAAGGACGGAAGGTTTGGGGGAAAGGGAAGGTTTGGGGAAGGGAAGGAAGGGAAGGGAAGGGAAGGAAGGTTTGGGAAGGAAGGGACAGGGAAGGGAAGGGAAGGTTTGGGAAGGGAAGGGAAGGGAAGGGAAGGGAAGGGAAGGGAAGGTTTGGGAAGGGAAGGGAAGGGAAGGAAAGGGAAGGGAAGGGAAGGGAAGGGAAGGGAAGGGAAGGGAAGGGAAGGGAAGGTTTTGGAATCTCCTGGAATGCTTTGGGTGGGAATGGGCCTTAAATCCCACCCCTTCCCTCATTCCCTTCCCAAATCCCGCCGCACCTGGAAGAGGGATCGGATCTTCCCGAGGGTGTCCGGGGGCCCCTCCAGCTCCTGCAGCGGCTTCAGCAGCTCCTTCTCCATCAGGAATCCCTTGGGAAAAAGGCCGGGAAGAGGGGGCGGAGCCGGGAATCAGCGTCTCCCGCCTTGATCCCGAGGAAATCCGGGAAAAGCGGGATCATCCCATCGAACCCGTCGCTCACCGACTCGTCCCGGAGCAGCTCCAGGATCCTCCGGATGGTTTCCTTGGGAACGTTTCCCAAGGGTCTGGATCCGAGCCCGGCTTTCCCGGGAATTCCTTTTCCTTCTTTTCCGCTTCCCAAGCCTTTCTTTTTCTTCCCTTTCCCGTCCTCGGGTGGTTTTCCGGAGTTTTCCTCTGGAATGTGGAGAGAAAAAGGGGGAGGAAAAGTCCTTGGTGGTCCCTAAAAATCAGCAGGAAAATCCCAGGTGATCCCTGGGAAAGAATCCAAAAATCCTTGGAATGTTCTCCCTGGAATCAGCAGGAAAATCCCAGATAATCCCTGGGAAACAAATCCAAAAATCCTTGGAATATTCTCCCTAAAATCATCAGGAAAATCCCAACAAAACCCTGGAAAACAAATCCAAAAATCCTTGGAATGTTCCCCCTGGAATCAGCAGGAAAATCCCAATGGATCCCTGGGAAACAAATCCCAAAATCCTTGGAATGTTCTCCCCAAAATCATCAAGAAACTTCCAGATGATCCCTGGAAAACAAATCCAAAAATCCTTGGAATGTTCTCCCTGGAATCAGCAGGAAAATCCCAGATGATCCCTGGAAAACAAATCCAAAAATCCCTGGAATGTTCTCCCTAAAATCATCAGGAAAATCCCTGGAAAACAAATCCCAAAATCCTTGGAATGTTCTCCATAAAATTATCAGGAAAATCCCAGAAAAACAAATCCAAAAATCCTTGGAATGTTCTTCCTGGAATCAGCAGGAATATCCCCAAAAATCTCTGGAAAACAAATCCCAAAATCCTTGGAATGTTCTCCCTAAAATCACCAGGAAAATCCCAGATGATCCCTGGAAAACAAATCCAAAAATCCTTGGAATGTTTTCCCTGGAATCACCAGGAAAATTCCAATGGATCCCTGGAAAACCAATCCAAAAATCCTTGGAATGTTCTCCCTGGAATCACCAGGAAAATCCAAAAAAAACCCTGGAAAACAAATCCAAAAATCCTTGGAATGTTCTCCCTGGAATCCTCAGGAAAATCCCAACAAAAACCTGGAAAACAAATCCAAAAATTCTTGGAATGTTCTCCCTGGAATCATCAGGAAAATCCCTGGAAAACAAATCCAAAAATCCTTGGAATTTTTTCCATAAAATCAGCAGGAAAATCCCTGGGAAACAAATCCAAAAATCATTGGAATGTTCTCCATAAAATCCTCAGGAAAATTCCAATGGATCCCTGGAAAACAAATCCAAAAATCCTTGGAATGTTCTCCCCAAATTCCTCAGGAAAATCCCAGATAATCCCTGGGAAACAAATCCAAAAATCCTTGGAATGTTCTCCCTGGAATCAGCAGGAAAATCCCAACAAAACCCTGGAAAACAAATCCAAAAATCCCTGGAATGTTTTCCCCGAAATCACCAGGAAAATCTCTGGGAAACAAATCCAAAAAACCTTGGAATGTTCTCCATAAAATCCCAGAAAAACAAATCCAAAAATCCTTGGAATGTTCTCCTGAAAATCACCAGGAAAATCCCAACAAACCCCTGGAAAACAAATCCCAAAATCCTTGGAATTTTTTCCATAAAATCAGCAGGAAAATCCCTGGGAAACAAATCCAAAAATCCTTGGAATGTTCTCCCCGGAATCATCAGGAAAATCCCAGATGATCCCTGGAAAACAAATCCAAGGATTCTGGGGTGGGAGGAGGATCGCGGCCAGTTTTCCTGGAACTGGGGATTCCCGGGAGATTCCCAACGGGAACGACAAGGCCGCGAACATCCCGGGGGGGCTCCCAGGGAGGGAAACATCGGGAATATTCCGGGAACGTTCCCGGAATTCCCACCTTCCAGTGCTTCCCGGGCCGCCCGGAGCGCCGTCCTCTTCTCCGGCTTCTCTCCCAAGGGTCCCACGTTTTCCAGGAACCAGTGGAGCGGCTCTTCCCAGGGAATTCCCAGCTGTTGGATGTGGATGAGCCGATCGGCTTCCAGAGCTTTCCGGATCAGCTCCTTGGCCTCCTCCTCGTTCACCAACCACACCCGCCGGAACTGAGCCAGGCCCGTCACGGAAAAGTGTCTGCGGGAAGGGGAGCCGTGGAATTCCCGGCCCTGGGGGAGTGGGATCCATGGAATTCCCGGCCCTGGGGAAGTGGGATCCATGTCCCCAAAAACAGCTGGAATTCCCTGAGCCATGTCTTCAAATTGGCCGGAATTCCCTGCCCTGTGGAATTGGGATCCATGTCCCCAAAATCAGCTGGAATTCCCTGATCCATGTCCCCAAATCGTCTGGAATTCCCTGCCCTAGGGAAGTGGGATCCATGGAATTCCCGGCCCTGGGGAAGCGGGAGATGTGGAATTCCCGGCCCTGGGGAATTGGGATCCGTGTCCCCAAAACCAGTCGGAATTCCCTGAGCCATGTCTCGAAATTAGCTGGAATTCCCCGACCTGTGTAACTTGGATCCATGGAATTGGGATCCACGGAATTCCCGGCCCTGGGGAATTGGGATCCACATCCCCAAATTGG